TATATATACAAATATCCATATTAATTATTTTTCTCAAATGGCTGTGTATAATATATCTCGTCACTTATGTTCTCCTTATAGCAGATGGTAATATATTATCTACATTTCTTTGTGGTTGAATGATTCTGGTCAGTATTTACACTCATAATATACCATGAATTATAGTATTAAAGACGCTACGTTTTTCTAACATCAAATTTGTCTGTGCAGCGAAGATCATAAAAATTCCCATAATGTTTTCTCATTATAGCATATAAGGCAACTTTTACCTATTCAAACCTCGTAAATGTCTGGTTGTGGCCGTGTTTATGCCTGTTTATAAGCGTAGTTGTATGTCCAAGGTCCCTGTAACTTGTCTACCATACAGTATTTATGTCTGATTAATGACGACCTGTTTTTAATACTCTTAATTCCTGGTTGTATTCTTGTCACCGTCATGTTTGTTTTAACAATTAAAAGATTGCTGGTAGTTGATACAAACGGGGGATATATGTGGAGTTTGAATTTATTATGTGGTGTGTGTGTGTGTTACATATACTGATACATATTGTCGTCATTGTTGTATTCTTGGATCGACACTGGTTTCTATGCGACTTCGAGCCAATTACTTCGGTATATGGGATCGAATCCTCCTTTACAATTCTCTACCCTTATTATTTTGTTCACGTAAGGGTTTAGTATAATACATACGTATATATATATTCCTCTTTCCTTACATATAGGTTTATCATCACCTTCCTTGTTCTTGTCTTCATCTACTTGTGCTTATTCTTTATTTTCTTTACACGTTATTCCAGCCTCCATACCTTCAATAGAGGTACTTTAAAATTAGTGTTTCATTCTCATAGTGGTTTTCAAGTATATGATATTAAACAATCTTAAGGCGATTTGTATGCTTAGGTATCATAATTTACTTTATGCTTAGCTGATGTAACTTTGCTAAATTATCATACTAATTAAATGGGGCTTTGCGGTTCATCATCCATCATAATTTTGAAACATTTTCTTTGCATGTGACTTTACGGTTTCATCTTGTATGGAATGAAACTTCGTACTTTCTTGTGGTTTCATCTCGTGGAATGAAACTTTCTTATTATTTACACAATAATGGAAATATTTTGTTATAATCAAGGACATAAGTGTTTCACAATAACTCATAAGTCACACAGGAGTTACTGCTAGAGAGAGTTGTTCACTATAGTACTGAAGATTTATAAAAGGTTTGTGTTTATCTTATCTATATATAATGTTTATGGCAGGAAGTTACAGTCTGACTCATAAATATGAAACCATTTGTTAATTTGTGTGTTCATGCTGAATAATTGTACATGGTGGTGGTACGAGTGTTGTTCTTGTCACAGACCTGCTTACTTGGACAGTTATTATTGTACCGTCATCTCAAGGTTCCTCGTCTTTGAATACCTACATGAGAGTTCAACATTTTTTTTTATTGTTACAAATTAATTTTTAAGATATTTAGAATTTAGTTAAATGTAATATTAATAAATTATTAAATTAAAATATGAAATTAATCACACAAAGTATCTGTTCTAAGTTGTTGAAGTCTATCATAGAGTCATTATTACAAGGGATTCCTTTGTAATTATCCTAAGGTAAAAAAATATATATTTGTGGTATGTTTTAAATTTTCTTCAAGTATGTTAAGAATGTGAGGAGTAAGAGAGAGAGGAATGACACAATGAAACATTCAAGATCCACTCCAGATACTTTATTTTCATTTATTGTAACTTTACAACTGGAAGCTCAAGAGAGGAAAACGCAATAATTTACAAATAGGGACTTGAACTGTACAAAAACAAATAACTCAATAGTAGCATAGAGCGCAGTGTCTGGGAGAGGTGCACCGCTGTATACAGGTTCCTAGCCAGGGAGGTCACGCCCCCGCCAGTCACACATTGACACAAATAATAATAATAAAAAAATAAACATAAAAAAAAAAATTATACAAGTCCATCAAGGCTGGTCACAAATCACCACACACTGTATCTTTTTGTTTTTAATTCACAAAACTGCATAAATTTTACACACTTTTTCTTCAAATTTTGTTAACATGACATTGTGGATGAACAACACTTGGAGACACACTGTTAACTCCTCGATGAACTCTTCCGTATAGTGAAGGTGGTGGGTGTAGTGCTCCCTGCCCCGTGGTGGAGGGACAGTGGAGCAACGCTTATCATATCTCACTGGGGTGTACAGGAATGATTGAGAGGGGGGTTGGGGTCTTATTCAGCTAAGCTCCAGAAAAATAAAGAAATAGGTCAAAATAAAATGGGAAGAGGTAACAGAACTTAACAATAACCTGAATTAAGATCATTGGAAGTTTGGCAAAGGAGAGTTCTTAATTATTTATAATCAGATCTTTGATCTGAAGTTTTAAGCTTGGAAAGAACATAAATATTATGGAAATGGTACCAAGATTAGGTCCAATTATAGCAAGATATACACAGATCAATTTATAAAGATTCATATTTCAGGGAAAGACCCCGTTTATCTCAATAGAAATTCCATATTACGTATATTTAATGAAAGTTGAATTGGCACTTGGACACTCAAGTTTGGACTGTCAAAATCTCCTTGTTGGGTGTGAGGCGCGTGTGGGCGCTACTCCACAGCAGGCGCCGCGCCGGGGAGCCTTCCACCTACATCCACAACACTGATTCAACATCTTTGTAGGTAGAGCAAAACCTGGCCTCAGCGTCGAGCAGCGTCTTACAGGGCATTAAGTACACACAGGCCAATGTAAACAGTATTACCAAGATTAACAACCCAAGGGAGTAAAATCACATATCACATGGGAAACAAGACATAGGTTTATATAAAAATATCAATGTACAAATGATCCATATTGTAAATACAATTACAATTTCAACCGAGAACTGGTATACCATGGGGGAGGAAGGTTGAGTCAACACACGAGCAACCTTTGTCTCCACACAACCTAAACAGTTACAAGTAGGTATTATCTCTTACAGACCAGCCATCACCCAGAGATAGTCCTCCTACCTTTTTTCCACTTGTGTTTACTCTCCACTAAGCCAGCTTCCCTCCCTCCAGTACACCATCGTCTCTCTCTCTCTCTGTCTCTCTCCAACTGATATGGTCTCCCTCTCTCACTGGGAGTAAGCTGTCTTTCTCCCCCATTTCCTTCTGTTTTCATCTCTAACAGTGTGTCGCGAATGTCTCTTTCGTCTGATTTTGTCTCGGTCTCTTGTCAGTCGGTCTCTCAAACTGTCTATTAACCTCATCACGTTTATAGTCTGAATTGGGATTTTGTCGTGGATATATCTGGGCAACGTACATTGCAGCGTATTAACTGGATATGATAGATCATTAACAACCAACTGTTTACGTCGACTGTCACCCAACAACATAACAGATTAATGACTCTTAACATAATTTGGATGGGACAGGAATAAAACAAAACCGACTTCTTCCCTCTTACCCAAAAATAAAAACTTACTACATACTTTTAATTTGCTTAGTTTTAGATTTAATGCAGATTAAGTCCCATTAGAATAAAATATTTACCCTTTTGAATACGTTAATTCCAAGTGTTTACCGCAAATTACAAGGAGAGTTATGAATGAGTCAGTACATGAACTTATCTAGCCTGGCCCCGCTGGTAACCAAGGGCATGTCACTCTGGACTTGGGTTGGTATCACATCGAGTATCTGCAGCTGGTATGATTTACATCCCCTCTCAACACCGCCGAGGGCCCAGTGGGGTTGGGAAGGTGTAGGTAAGAGGCGGAGATGGTCCAGGGATACCGGTGAGGTTTTTATGGGTGTTCTGTAGGGTTAGAGGGGCCATGGGTGGGGGGGGGGGGTTAGAGAAGGATGGGGGATGGATCGGTAGTTGTGGTAGATGGTCAGGACAGGGAAGGTAAGGAGCAGCAGCAGCAGCCGGAGTTAAGGGACACGACGCCTTACTACGCACGGCTGCGCATCTTGTGGCTCCGGCCCACTGCTAAATCACGCTTGACAACCCCTGATTACCGCGGGATGCGAAGGGCTTGACGAGTGTGCACTGGCTTACTCCTCCGCCCTTTGTATTGCTGGCAGCATGTATCATTCTAAAATTAGCCCCGCCGGCACCGCCTTAGCAACCCACCAACATGCTTCATCCGCAAGATGTGATTGTGATCGGAGGGTCGCACTATTATCGTACCCCGCCACTCTGAGGATCGTATGTCATATGATAAAGCGTTGGTGATCGTACATTCCCCGCGTGTTCCAGGACCATTCCCCTTATTATATGGAAAGCTCAAGGATACGAGTGACTGAAGTGCTGCACAATTAAATATTACTGTAAATATCTAAATGTGCTTGCGTTTTCTTCTGAATGGCAATCCCTGGATATAATGATATTCTTGGGTGAGTGAAGATGACCTCCAGGCTGCTGTAACTGACGAAGAGGCTCAGTAAAGACTCGCGCGGGGAGCGAGTGGTGGGCGACAGATAAACAAACATCATGTACAGACTGCTGCAAGCTTTTAGTGACTTCCGGCGTGGTGGGAGCAGACAGCGGGAGTAAAGCGTCCGACCTCTGCGAATGATCGACTCGGTGATCAACAGGCCTCCATGATTGATGCGAAACATATCTGGCTGGCTTGCCTTTGAAACCGCCGGGTTCACGCCTTGAATCGTGAAACTCATTTCAGATAGGCGGTATCTCATTAGGAATGAATTATCTGGCGCCTTCTGCGAAGAGGGGTGTGACGGGAGGGGGCGTGGCAGACAGACCTACGGCAGGGCCAGCGGCCGTGCCCAAGATCCACACACACACACACACACACGCACGCACGCACGCACGCACACACACACACACACACACACACACACACACACACATTTATTATTATTATTATTATTATAAAAACACGCACGCACACACACACATGCATGCACACACACACACACACACACACATACATACATACATACACACACACATACATACATACATACATACATACATACATACATATACACACACACACACACACACACACACACACACACCAACCTTGGCGCACTGACATCCAGGAGAGAGAAAAAACTAATTGTCTGATGCACGCTAATGACGTCTTATGGTGAGCGAGACCCAGAATCCCTGAGGCAGCTCATTATTTTATTACAATATCGAGACTTAGGCATGATACCAGTGGAGCTACTAGGCAGGATTACAGCGTACAACAACACATGAGGCAAGTTGGAGAGAGATGTGACCGTAAATGGCCTACAGCGTGTTAGTGTGTGCTGGTGGTGGATTTTAAGGTGCAAAAGTTTCGGGAAACTTGTGAGGTAGTGTTATGATCTGCGACTTGCATTTCAGGGAAGCTATAATAACAGTATTGTGAGCAAAAGTCATATGGTTATGAGAAGTGATTTGTAGTGTTGTTATGACTGAGTTAAACAACAGTAAAAACCAATATTAGGAGGACACAATGGTGGCGGTTGAGAAACCAGTTATAGCGTCAGTCGGGAATACAGCTACCGATGTTTGGATGGCCAGGGAAGTGTTGTGGAGGGAGGGCGTTGCCTGGTGGAGGTGAGCGGGAGGGAGGGTGGCGGCCTGTTGGAGGAGGTGAGGTGAGGCTGGTGGTGGTGACGCTGCTCACGCCAGGACCCAGGCTGGGGGTTCCAAGCCTCGCAGATCAGTTGTGTTGGTCAGGCGCATCTTTACACTAGGAATAAAAGCATTGAGATCACTTTCAGCAAGTCAAAGACAGCATATTGTAAAAAGGATGATATTGATACATCATTGATGTTTTCCAAATAATTATCAACAATCAATTTGATCATTGCCATGTCAGCTTAATCTTACATTGTCTATATATTAATAACTATGTGAAAAAGTGACAGCAAGTGTGAGCGATTAAGAGTTTGCGACGGCCCGGGACGATCACATCGTCGCGGGCGGTGAGGATACACAGCGTGAGGCGAGGGCGCGCCGGGGGGCAGGGGGCGCCGCGCCCTCCCGCGGCCGCCTGCAGGTCCCTGGCACCCCGTGGTCCAGGGCCGGCTGTGGGCGCGGGCTCCCTCGCTACTACGGGCGTGACCACAACCCAGCCCGCCCACAACACACACTTTGTACTCTGCGGGTTGTTTTGATTGTTGGCACGTGTCTTTCCTGCGGGCGGGGGACGGGAGCAGCGCCCGCCGGTAGTGACAGTCCCGGGCGGCGGGTGATATGAGGGGACCCCGGCCGCCGCCGCCTCCAAGCTGCCAGGTATCACAAGACTACAGGGGCCACCAAGCTCTCACGAAGGATAAATAGTTACACTGTACACACGAGCCACGCCACACTGTACACGGGGCGGGCGGGGGCTGGGGGTCTTTGGCGGGCGCGGGTGGGGGCGTGGGGGAGGGCGGCCACCCCGGGGCAGCGGCCTGCACTACTTGCTGGACAGCTGCTTGGCCAACTCCGTGTACTTCAGGAACTTGGAGTGTGGTGACTCCTCCACGGGGGCTGCGGGGGGCGTGGCCGCCTTATTAGCAGTCGGAGGTGGCTTTCCGCCACTCGCCTTCCCACCCGCGTTGTCGGGAATCACACCGTCTTTCACAAAGTGCATCTTCGACAGATGATGTCGGTAAGCACCCTTACTGATAAAGGGAGTGTCACAAAAGGCGCATTTCATGATGCTGTCGGCAGTCACTGCATCATTACACGCCCAAGAAAAAGCGAGAATCGCCCCAGGATTTGTCTGTGGTCCAGCAGACCCCCCGCTCGATTGTGGCGGCCGAGGCTGAGTCTCTGTCTTGTCACACAGCTTCTGTAGCGCCGCCAGAGGATGTGAAGAGATTCCTTCGCCGCCACCTCCAAGTAGAGCAGAGAGGCCGCCTAATGCAGACGCCCCAAGGCCGGAGCCTGAGCGTCCCCCGACACTGGCCTCAGAATGAGGAGTGCCAGACCTGCTACTGCAGCCTGCGGGGGACCCCATTAATCGCCCGGCCGGAGACTCACGCCCTACGTCGTGAGTGAGATCGTTCTCTTCCTCTTCATCTCCTTCTTCCTTCAATTTGAATTCTTCTTTCACCCGTATCTCTTCCTTTACTCTGAGCTCCTCCCTGGCAGACACAGACTCACGGTCACTAATTTCTCCGTTTGTCTCTAGAGGTTCTTGTTTCACCTCCTCCCTGCCACAAATACTCCCATGCTCATTGTCAGAATGGTCAGCACCATTCTCAGTGGGTGCGATATCGTCGGGGGTGGCAGCGGTTGGGTGGCTGTCCGGCCGCAGCAACTCCAGCGACCTTTCGCTGCCGCTACCATCCCGTGTTATTGAGCCCGTGGAGGCGGGGCGCGACCCAGGCCGCGACGGTGACCGCGGGAATGTGTCACGTGTGTCAGAGTCTGCACTTGGACTCATCATGGAATCCCCCAGGCCTCGTAATCCCCCGCCTCTGTCACTTGAGCCGAATGAAGGTGGTAGATTGAAGGTGGAAGGTGCACCCGCGCCGTGAGGCGGTACACCGTGTAGCCGGGAGAATGTGGCGTACATCCCCACCAGCTGAGGGTCCATCAACGGCTTGGAATAGTCGGCGCTCTCATCAATACCAAGTCGACGGAGGATGCTTGACCCAAGAGGCCCGGTTCCGGGTTTTGCCTTGCCAGAGTCAAAACTCTTTTCGATCAACTTCTCGAGGGCATTTAAGACTGATGGAGACTCGGAAGCACCACGACCCTTTGGTTTATCAAAGTCTCTTTCCCTTGGACTATCGCGAGGGGTTTTCTCGGGCGTCTTCTTGCCTTCACTGTCAGTCTCAGGGGCAGAGTCGAGTTTGTTGCTGTAGTCGCTGTCGGGGGATAGCAGGGCTGACTTGAGCAGGTCACGGGAAGAAGCGCCTACACAGTTGCGGATATGGTCCACGAATAACGAAGTTTCTATCTTGTCGCCGCACTTTTCACAAGAGATGCGTCCTGACCCTGAATGGTCCTTCATGCCCCTCCCTACGTCGGAGGATGAACGATAGTCCTGCTGAGCTCGCTCCAGTTCCAGAAGCTTGCGCACAGGTAATGACTTCTTTCGTTTCTCACGTGTCTGCCTTCGTCGCGCTCCTGATTCCGTAATGGACCGCATGATGTGCTCCTTATAGTGAGCATTCTTTACCATGTGATTACTAAGTTCTTTAAGAGAAGCAAATGCCTGGTCACACACCTTACAGGTGAGCACGGCGTTTACGTGACTCTGGCTACTAGACTTTTCTTCGGGGGATTTCCATGAGATAATCTGCTCCTGAGAGATAATGTTAGTGTAGTGTTGTGTTTGTTGCATATGCTGGGTCATTTCAGCCAAAGACTTGAAACTCTGGCCGCACCACATACACTTGAGGATCTGTCGGGTCTGCTCGGCGCCCTTGCCCAGCCATACATCCTGACCACGCACGAGCTTCCTGGGCAGCGGCATCGTCTCCTTAATACTTGACATCAGGTCACTTGACGATGAAGATCCTGACGCAATTGAGGAAGAAGAAGAAGGCGGTTTTGAGGTTTGTGTCTTGGTGGGCGTGTACTGAGGCGGCAGGTGGGTGTGGATTGAGGCAGCGCTGGATGAGGGCGGTGGGATAGGGGGTGGCAGGTTAACCCCGCAGTGTTTGGCCTCTTTCATGTGGGTCGTGAGTTCAGCCAAAGTGTTAAATGAAGCTTTGCACCACACACACTTAAGCACATCCTTAGTGGCGTCCTGACCCTTGCTAAGCCAATGACTCTGCCAAGCAGTGGCCCGACCAGCACTGCCACCCAGCCCCCCTCTGAACAGATCCAGGCCGCTGTCGCCTCCCAGCCTACTCAACTCACTCATACGTTCCAAGGCTCTGGAACCCTCTGAGGGTGAGTGTGGAATTGCGCCCATAGGGAACGGTGGAAGCTTTGTGGAGATGCTGTCACCCTTCAGTTTTCCATTCCACAGTGCCAGGTCTGGTCTGAGAGCCATAGCAGAAGCAAGGTGGGGTGGCAGGGGAATACCCCACGCCCCTAACCCCTTGGCAAGATCATGGTGCATCTTGCCCTGTGCCGCTTCCAGCAGGGCATCCGCTGCCCTCTTGCGGGGCACCGACAAGTCCAGTGGAGAGTCACCAAGGCGTGGGAGACCTGGGGGAGGCGATCCTGCTAGAGACGACCTGGCCGACATGCTGAGGTTGTCGTCCCTAGTCAAGGCCGGAGAACGTCGTAGAGAAAAGTCGAGAATATCGGCCTCGTTGTCGGAGCATCGTGTAAATGAGGGTGATGATAGCAGCGGGCGGAGTGCCGGAGGCGTGGCCCGAGGCGATCCCATGTGTGCTGGGGAGGAGTTGAGGGACTCCCGCGGCGAGTGGCGAGGAGACATCTTGGGAGAGAGTCCCTCGCGTGATGCCACACTTCCGCTGTCCCTGGAGGAAGAAAACACAGGAGTTAGGACTCCTAACATATAGCAACTGGGTAAGTGTACACAATACAGCTCTGGGGAGGGGTGTGAAGCGCCCGTAAACAGTGGCATGTTTGACGCTGTGGTGCAATAATGATCAAGACAGTTACTAGAAACTGTTGTGTTAATGCTATCGAAAATTTAGGAATGGGTTATAAACAGCAATTACTAAGGTCACTTTACTAAAGGTACACATATAAGGAACAGGTGGACGATATGTACTCACCGGCGGTGTCTGGGGCTGGAGGTAAGTGAGTCTCCCTCCTCGCCTTCTAGGCCAGGTTCCTTCCCTTCGCATTCCTCCCCTGGAACAAAACAAACAAATATTAGTGACTTGCACAGTACCTTGACTCAACACAATATCAAGTTGAGATTCTCCTCACAAGTTCAAACACAATAAATTAGTAATACACATCAAAGGAATTCACTAAAAATATAATATTTGATACAAAGGCGTTGCCGAAAATTGTGTGCGTACAAACTGTAGCGTCTGTCAATTATTGTCTTTATAAAAATTACGACATTACACACTAAAAATACAACACAACACCGTCTTAGTAAAATTAATATCAGTAATAATAAAATTTATAGAATGATCAATATTTTTCTGTATCAGATTTCGACGTTAACAAATTACTAAGTCTTCAACCTGTAAATATATGTAAATGAGACAATTTCAAGAACGATAATCATATCTTGTAATTGTTTATTAGTCCTGGCCAACGATTATTGATTTCAGAGACACCTACAGTACATGGCTGACGCCGTGGCAATGTGGAAACCCAATGATAGTCTCTCCGCTCACCGAACGATTAGAAAGTTATTAGAGGTTCACCACCACCAAAAACCAATTACCGCTAATGACGCGACCAAGTCCGCTGGTCGACCACAATGCCGCTTAACCTGATGACCAAAGGGGTACGCTCGGCCCTTCATTAGCGTAAATCCTTGATCAAACTCTCCTTTTCGCAGTGTCATTAATCTATAGCGCGGTAATAAGCTCGATAAAGCCCTGAAAGACCGGCTCCGAGTGTCAACAAAGGACGGGTCCCGCTGGCTTTGTGGGCAGTGAAAAACGGCCGTGGCGGGGAAAAAATGAGGTTAGCACGAGTCGGCTCGTCATCGTCACCTTCAAGAAGAGGCCGCTAGACACCCGGCCCGCCGAGGCTCTTGAACCGGGGCGAGATACTTGTTATACCAGGATGTGGTTGACCGAAATATTGAAGAGAAGCATCTTGGGCCGTCCTTGTGTGTGTGTGTGTGTGTGCGTGCGTGTGTGCGTGCGCGCGGCTTAAAACTGTGTACTAGATGGCTCTGTGCTCCTTGTTTAGGATGACGGAGACCGGCATTGTATATGATCTGCTGGAGATACTGCATGGTGTACGACTCTTCACTGCGACCACCGTGAATGACTGTAATCATATCCTCAGGAAAAAATAAATAAAAAATTATCCCCAGAGATTAATATCCTCTCACAAAGACAACGAATATATACATACGTGGCAACTATTAAGCGACACATCTGATACAAATAAACACAAAAATAAATAACATGTTACTGTGTCGTAGTAGATGTGCCAACGCGTGGGAAAATCTAGCCCAGGATGCTGAGAGAGAGAGAGAGAGAGAGAGAGACCCGCTACGGAGCCGTCATCCTGATGGCAAAACCTATTAACACACCGGACGCCAGCCACTTAACCAACCCTTTCACTGTTAACGCTTACTAATTAACCTGGCTTCCCCCGTGACATCGACAGTTGGCCATCATTACGTGTCGCCACGGCTCTCACTACCAACACGGACCGCCATTCTGTCTTCCTCCGGCCGGTCACATTGTTTTACCTGCCGTCTATACCTTAGGCTTTAGCTTGGTGCGGGGGCAAGGGTTAATACTATCCGTCTCCTTCTTAACTCCCACGCAAGAATAATAACAATAATAATGATACAAACAACAACAACAACAACAATAACAATAATAATAATAATAATAGTAATAATTATAATAATAATAATAATAATAATAATAATAATAATAATAATAATAATAATCCACCTTGAATCACATTAATGAGGAGCACAGGTATTATACTGAATCCCGTATTTATGTTGATAAGTCACTGTACAAACAACATACTTGGTAAAAACAAGCTTAAGTAAGGTGTACACCGGTCACCTGTTTTTTTTATTTAAAAAAAAATAATATTCAACTACTGCTAAACTCCACCATAACTAATCCCCCTCCACAGCTAATTTCCTCCACAGATAATCTCCACCTCAGCTAACCTCCACCACATCTACTCTCCACCACAGATAATCTCCACAGCTAATGTTCCTACAGCTAATCTCCATCACAGCTTATCTCCACCACAGCTAATCTCCACCACAGCTAACCTCCATCACAGCTAACCTCCACCACAGCTAACCTCCACCACACCTAACCTCCACCACAACTAACCTCCAACATACAACTAAACTCCACCACAACTAACCTCCACCACAGCTAACCTCCACCGCAACTAACCTCCACCGCAGCTAACCTCCACCGCAGCTAACCTCCACCACAACTAACCTCCACTACAGCTAACCTCCACTACAGCTAACCTCCTCCAAAACTAATTTAACACATTCAGGGAGAATTAGAGATGAAACCATCGGGAAATTAATTTTTTTCCTGCTTTTCTTTTTTACAATAAACGGCAGTGTTTTTTTTTATCAAAGTTGACAATTAATAGTTAGTTTCTATCACCAATATTGACAACCAGTAGGCGCTCTGTTACACACCTGTACGTTCCTGTGTGTAGGGTGTGTGTGTGTGTGTGTGTGTGCGTGTATGGAGGGACGGTGGATATTGGTGTGGGTGGGTGTCTGTATGGGTGTGTGGATGGGGGTGGGTGTGTCTGTTGGGGAGGTGCACCGGGAGGAAGGGGGGAGGTGGAGCGAGGTGGTTAAGGTCTTCAGAAACATTAGTATTTGAAAACTATCACTCGCTGGCGACACACACACACAAACACACACACACACTACATAAATTTATAAAATACATGCATACATACATACATACAAAAGCACCAACATATACACAAATACACACAAACACATGTATTGTATTACACATAACTATACATAAATTACAGTTTGATGGTTACGGTAAATAAAAGGGGGGGGGGGAGTGTCAGCAGTGCTGGGTCTGTCAGTTTCGGTGACCGCAATACTCGACCCTTGGCCTCATCGCTGACACTCCACTGATAATCTGAATATTGGCTCGTGCAACAAGAGGAACATTAAGCCCTCGTTGGTCTGGCCTGGGCACTAACGAGAGCGGCTCACTTCAAACTTCCGGCAGCAGAAGCAGGAGCAACAACAGCAGTTATCAACAGCAGTAGTAGCAGCAACACAAGCAGGGGTAGTAACGGCGAAACAGATATTATCAGTAGCAGTATCAGCAATAGTAATAACAGTAGCCAGAACCAACGCAGCAGTGGTAGTGTCCTCTAGGATAAGCGGACTACTTAGGAACATCTGCCGGGGCAGGTGAGTGAGCTCTCCAGTAGCTCATCTTCAAGACGGGATGACTTGTCTTTGTGTCGGTGTTACGTTGGTATCTGTTCATTAAATGTATTATTTCCTGAGGACATAAGTAAGGCAGACATACTCTTTTCTTCCCTTTGTTTCCTCCTCTTCTCTATATAATATTTGTAACCAGTTTGTGTCGAGATAAACAAACGTTGTGCACAGGGCAGGTGGAAGGAGGTATGGGTGTGTCTCACTTGGGTTCAACTCGCCAAGCACAGGAAGAACAACAACTTGAACAGTACAGCAGCTGTCCGATAATTTACAGCAGGACACTAGATCTATGATTATCTTCTTATTTTTAATGAGCTCCCTTTTCTCCCTTTCCTCCCTTAGTCTAGTGTCAAGAGTACCTCCCCCCCCCTTCCCTCCACACACACACACCGACCTGTCGAAATCCTCTTCTCCCTTACCAGGGTGTCCAAACCCCTTGCACCCCTCATACCATTATGTCCAAATCACTTACCCAAGACCACCATGTTCATATTCATTCTCCCACAACAGGTTGGCCACGTACCCTAAGCCTCCACGTCCTCTTCCACCGGAGCATCAGCGTCCCCGTCTCCCCAGTGTTTGCTGGTCGCTTCATCCTCCGCTAACCTCCCTCCCCACATAAAGATAACCGCTATACTCTGACGCCCTGCCGGCAGTAGCAACAACGAGGAGACAAAATTGTCGAATCCATCGCAAGGGAGGCAGAGAGGAAGGTGAGGCTGGTGCAGGCAGGCAGGGGCTCCGTAATGGATGCGACAGTATACATAAAAAACGGTGCTAGAACCCTGTGTCGGATACGTGGGTCGGGGGTGGTGGGTGGATGAGAGGAGATGGGTGAAGGGGCTGACAGTGTACCGGGGACGCAGGTGGTCGCGCGACGTCTGCCGTAATATTAATGGAGGTCGGAACACAGGTCGTGATATACCACTGTTGCATATTTACATATGCAAACATCCAGGATCATGCTTAGGGTCACGTCACAACAAAATACTCCGCCACAAAATCTAGTCTGCCAAGCTTAGTGTTGTTCCCTAAAGTCACGCACGTTGTTGATAATGACCATTAAATCTTAAGGTGTGTATGTATAATATATATATATATATATATATATATATATATATATATATATATATATATATATATATATATATATATATATATATATATATATATATATATTATAATAAGTGGGTGGTTAGTAATGGCAGTCAGATTCAGTTACCAATAAACAGAAGCTCTTCACTCTTTGATTCTTCAAGATGTGGTGGAGGCTGAGGTAACTGTACACACTAGACGTGATCTAGTGTGGGACAACACTAGTACCTCACCCACTATCATCTCACCTGAGTTAAGTTTAGACTAAATTTGTGATGATTCTAAGTTAGTGTCGTGTTGTGGTGCAGACGGCAGCGCTCTCACCCCAGAACACTTGACACACTTTACGTTGACTGCAAAAAATGACTCATCTCAGGGCGGACGGACGGACAGACGATGGACTAACAGAAGAACTCATCGCTAATAATTATTAAAAAACAAATAATTAATAATTAATTAAATAATCATACAAATAGACACAATTATTACGATGAAGAGAAGATCTATGACTGACCGTAAATCTGCCATTAGCGGCGTTAAGCTGTACGTGAAATAAAATATGCGTGATACACGACAAACATCCATCAGTTAAGTAAGGACAGGCAACCAAAATATTCCTTCAAACATTTTACCTCAGTTTAGAAAAAAATTAATGACGTACCTGACCAAGTAAACAAAAAAATAATAACAGTAAACAAAAACATATATTAAGTCCCTCAATTAATATCATGAATTTAAAGTACAATTTTTTTAATAGTGATGATATAGAAGGTATGTTATAGAAAATGGGAAGGGGGTGGGGGTGGGGGGGGTTAAGGGTGGAGGTTACTGTACAAATAATCAATAATGGTGTGGGTGGCGTGCAGTGTGTGGCGCTGTGGCTCAGACAAAGTGGCGCTTTACCTCCCTCAATAATTATCTTATTATCAACGTTATTAATGATGGCGGTGACGAGGCGATTTTCTACCTAGAGAACAGTGTCCCTCCTCTCCCTCCCTCCCTCCCTCCCCCTCCCTCCCTCTCCCCCTCCCTCTCCCTCTCCCCCTCCCCCTGTTATCTCTCTCCCTACCTGTCCTCTTCTCTCCTCTCTCATTTTTTCTTTTAAAGTTATGATTTTTTTTGAGTAGCCGGTTGTTGAAGCTTACTAAAACAACAACAGTAATAATAATAATAATAGCCTTCTCTGTTCTTTCTCTTTCCCCCCATTCCTCTTAGTCCCTCTCCCCTTCTTTTCCTTCATCAATATCCTTGTTTCATCTTCTCTAGTATTATCATCATAAAAAGCCTCTCACTATCACCATACCTTTCACCATCGGACCTCAATAACGACTCCCCTCATCACCATACTTCCCTCGCCATCATCACCATACTTTCTTCACCATCATCACCATACTTCCCTCACCATCATCACCATACTTTTCCCTCACCATCATCACCATACTTTCCTCACCATCATCACCATACTTTCCTCACCATCATCATCATCACCATCATCACCATACTTTCCTCACATCATCACCATACTTTCCTCACCATCATCACCATACTTTCCTCACCATCATCACCATACTTTCCTCACCATCATCACCATACTTTCCTCACCATCATCACCATACTTTCCTCACCGTCATCATCATACTTTCCTCACCATCATCACCATACTTCCCTCATCCCAGCGTCTTCCAACACCACCGGTCACTATTACCAGCCCCAGCACACACCCTCACCTGTGTCAACAATCGCTTCGGTGGCAACACCTGTTCACCTATGAGCTGGCAACACTTGCTAGTACACTGTATGTTCTCTTATACAGGAAGGATTGTGATGTTGTAAAGGTGGTGGTGGTGAGAGGATGATGATGATGATGATGATAATAATAATAATAATAATAATAATAATAATAATAATAATAATAATAATAATAATAATAATAACAATAATAATAACAGAAAACTTAAAACAACACTACCGGTAATAATAATAAAAAAAAACTTATAACAAATTATTTTAATATAAGTAATAATAGAATTATAATCACAAAAGCTCAAAAAATAATAATGAAACTATAGTATTAAATATTAACATTCATGTGGTATTAATTATAATGTAATTATTAAGATATTTAAAAAAATTCAAAATAAAATTAAAGAATAAATTTGTAATTACATATTTTTAGTTTGAGTCCAGCTTGATGAGGATGAGGAGAAAAAGAAGACGTGGGAGAGGGATGGAGAAGTGGGAGAGAGAGGGGGAGGAAGGGAGAGAGGAATGAGGGAGGAGAGAGGCGGTTCCTCCTCCTCCTCCCTTCCTCTCGGACTGTTAATTAAACAAAATGCCAAAAAGCCAAACAACACTAATGTAGGGTAACGTCTCCTCCTCTGTTCCCCCCTCCCTTCGTCCCTCCCTACCTTCCCCCTCCCTACCTTCCCCCTCCCTACCTTCCCCCTCCCTACCCTCTTCCTCTACCCCCACCTCAGCATCGTTCATCGTAAATCAATTTCTCGTTGCGACTCAAATTTTTTTCTCTCATCTCCCACCTAGTCTGAGGTCAAGAGAAACATCATTCAGTACTAATTAATTTTCGATCGAGACTACCTGCTCATTAATAAACCTAGACTGGCGGGCTAGTACTGACTCCCTGTCTGTCTTCTGTCTTTCTGTCTCTGCATGTGAGATGGAGTCCTTGGAGGTGGGGGGAGTGAGAGGGGAAGAAGAGGGAGGGGGGTTAGTTTGGGAAAAGAGGGAGGGGTTTGGTTGGGGGAAGAGGAACATGAGGAGGGGTAAGGCTAGGGAGGAAGGGTAGGTTGGGGAGAAGGAGGAGGTAGGGTGAACTAGTGGAGGAGAAGAAGGGTGGTGAGTTATGTTGGGAGAGGATATGGTATTGGTGAAGAGGAAGTGAGGAAGGTGAGGGAAAAATGGTAAGTTTCCTGTGACCGATGTTCAGGTAACATCAGCTTTCCTGTGTGTGTGTGAGTGAGAAAGATAAACAGACAGACCCACCCCGTCTGTCACTCACTCACTCACCCCGTCACTCATTCACCCACCCTGTCACTCACTCAGCCAGCATCAACATCACCCACTCATCCCCCCACAGGAGAACATCCTCCTCAGGTGTAGCCACTCAGGCGGAAAGTCCTCTTCGTGGGGTAGATTGGGCAGTGTAGCGGGGTAGCCACAAGGACCACATCCCGCCTGACCAAACCAAGTCCTGCCCCTTAACGACCCACCCACCCAACTGGCGAATCACCCTATTCATCGCGCTAAATTAACTCTCGCACTTGTCCAAACAGCGGCGCTCTTTGATTTTCTCTCTGCCCGGTTCTTCTCATTATTCAGCGGCAACAATTTATGTAATCCATTATAATTATTTAAGTTTGTATAGGTCAGGGGGAATAACTCTCAGAGACACGAAGCTCAGGGGTGGTGGTGATGATAATAGCGGTGGTGAAGATGGTAGTGGTGAGTGGTTGTGGTGGTGGTGATAATAGCAGTGGTGAAGATGGTAGTGGAGTTGGTGGTTGAGTTGGTGGTTTGGGTTGGTGGTGTTGGTCGTGGTAATGATGATGTTAGTGATGATGGTGGTGGTGAATGGAGGAGGTTATGAAGTAGAGATGGCAAAGTGAGAAGCCATCATGGGAGACAGAACTGTGGTTAACTCATCAACTTACTGTACACACTAACTTTATACCTAAAAACAAATAAAAATAATAAAAAAAATACAATATGCAAATGTGTAATAACAGGTCAATAATTATTTACTAACACCATGTGAATTGTTGAAATCCTGATAATATTCTAGGTTATAAATGTACAGTATTTATTATCAAGTGCCTTCAAGAGAGCTACACCACTCGAGAGTCGCAGCCATGTCAATATTTTGTCTTTGTTCACATTATATCTATATTATTTTTGGATAAATAAACATGTAATTTCAATTTCTGTTTCAACATACAACAAAAGGTAGTGATTCCTCCACTTATAAATTACCCTGTAGTTAAAATAGATTACTGTAATCTCTTATATTCTACAAATGTGTAATTTCATCCATTTACACCAAACACACCAATGTAAAACGAGATTGTTTCTTCCACAACAAATGTAATGAGTAAAAAAAAATTTCACCCCACTTCTACCTTCTAACAAATGTAATAACATCCTTTCGGCGCTCCACACAAGGCGACAATTCATTGACAACAAGAGTGTGTGGTGGAGAAAAATGCCATAATGGGAGGGTACAGACACACACCGCCCGCCGCCCATTAAACATGAACTACGGCCGTCCTGCCCTCCGCACTCATGGAAAGAAAGAAAGACACCCACACAAAAAACGCCCACACCTTACAGCCTTAATCCCGACACCACAAAATAAAACTGCGACACACTGAGAAAGCGGAGAAAGGCCAAATGATCCCCCAACACACTCCGCCGTCCTCGTAATCAGCTCGCTCTCCCCCTCCTTCCCGGGCGTCTTACACTTACGTCAGGAGGAAAAATTGCCCC